ATATAAGTTTTACAATAGTTGAATGGTTACACAGGAATAGAATTTCCTAGCTAAAATGCTAGTTGTGACAATATTTCTTGGTAGTAAAGACCATGTGGGGGTTCCCATGACAGGAAGACCATGTGGGGGTTCCCATGACAGGTAGTTAAGATCACGTGGGGGTTCCAGTGGGACTAGGTGTAAGACTTTGGAGGGTTTCCATGACATCCTTATATGTTGTATGCATGGATTATATGGTTTATGTAGCTTTTATAACTAATATGGATTACGTGATTATGTGGATTGTGTGGGGTATGCTCTGGGGAACTCACTAAACATTAGCTTACTGTTTGTTGATTTGTTTCAGGTACTTCTGAGCCTAAGGGCAAGGGCAAGGCTTGATGGCGCGACATGCACTCTCCGACATTTGATTTGATGGGACACTCTGATATTTGAAATAAAATTGTTGATGTTATGAATTTGAAAACAATTGTTCTTGAGATTTGTGGTTTATTGGAAATGTTTTGACTATTTAAAAATGAAAATTTTCTTTTGAAAATTAGGTCGTTACAAATTATCTTTTTTTTTCCTTTGCACCCATGAAATCCCACAACCAAAAATCGCAGAACTCAAAACCTTAAGGTTGCGTTCTCTGCTGCAAAGTAAGTTATTATAGCATTTAAATATTCGATAGTTGAATGCATTCCCCTGAACTTTTCCTCTAACTCCTCGACATAATGTTTCTTCCTCTGTCGTGAAAGCTGTGCACTATCCCGGTTCCTTATCAGCCTCGCCTTCTTCTTCTCGTCTTTTTCGTCAATCTCATTCGAATTCTCAGTTGTTGTCGAAGTTCCATCTCGATTCCGCCAAATTACCAGACTCCACAACGACAATTTCAGGCTTAGACACGAAGTCATTGAATTCAAGATCAGATGATGATAGATCAATTTAATTGGTAGGGTTGAAGGCAAAGTTGAAAAAGTCTCTGTATCTGAAAGGAGGTGTAAATTATCAAAGGTTATGTCGAAGTCTCCATCATCGTAGGGGAGGAAATCATCGGGTAATGTGAAGTCATCGATAATAGGGAGGAGCTGAGAGGGGGAATTTGTAGAGAGGCTAACGGATCGGCCACAGCCTGCACTTCTGTGGCCATTCTTAGGGTTTTTGAGTCAAACACGTCGTTTGGTGCCGTGTCAAATATTCAAACAAGTGGCAAGTGAGGTGGCCTTATTTTAATGACTTGTCAAATGGTACTTGCTGAGTACAATGCCATAAGTTTATTTATCGGTCTGCACTAGGCTTTATGTCAATTACTCAATGAGATTGGTATTATAGTTTATTTTAACAACAATTTTTGTGAAATTTCTTATGATGTACAATCAATAAGAGAAGCCAAATTCATCTGTCTTTGAAACATATAATTTAATATTGCTCTTATTTTGAGTATTTTGTCCCTCTTATTGATCACAATACACTATCTATAAAAAACAATTTATATGAATAAAATAACAGTACAAAGCTATAGTAGGAACAAATGAAAGTACGATGTTATAAAAGAAAGTAAAATCAGTATATTTTTTACATTGGTTAATCCGGCTACCGGACAAGGTATAACACTAGTTTCGATGGCTATCAAGTCATTTCTTATTTTTTTGGGTTAAATTTGTATTTTTCCCTATTAATTAAATAAAAATTTGTCTTTTATAGTGATACACTGATACTGTCGAGTGTAGACCATTCAAACTTCGAACATTGAACGGAGGTGCGAACTGCGAAGATCAACGCAACTCGATTTCACTAACTCTTGACTACGTTTGTGGTTTCTTGCGGCTTTTCTTCCCTAAACCTAGTGTGGAAAAATAACAATTGTTTCACTGAAACAGCAAGAGAAAGGAAGAGTGCCATTTCAAGGGTTTCCACAGGTATTCTTTGCTCTCTCTTTGGCCCACTTCAATTAGGGTTTCTGTTCTATTCTACTCCTTTTACGATGTTAGTTTGTTTCATTTAATGGCGTAACTGTATATTGTTTACATTTGTACTCGCTTTGTTATATGAAAATCTTTCTGCATTACTACGGAATTAAGGAATGTGATTGGTTGTGATCTATGTTCCCTTTTGGGTTTGTTCATTAACAATTTGTCTCACTGAAGTGGTGTCTTTCTGTGTTAGGTTAACTTGACTTTGCGTAACTTGAACATCATATGAGCTAACTGTTACTTTGTTCTTCTTCTTCAACCAAACACTCAAGAAACTTACCTTGTATGGAGTTCCAAATACTCGTGTTCCCTGTGGACTGTGGCCCTGTTTTATATAATTTTCTTCCATGGTAGGGTATTGTGTTTTTTTGCTCTCGTTGAGTTCTTATGGTAATTAGATTTGTGTCATATCATGCTAATCGTAGGTTAAGCATGGCAACTTGAGATACTTGAAAAGTAACTCCTAGTTAGGCTAAAGCTGATAGTATATCAAAGACCATTCTTTATGGTGTCTTGATTAAAGTTCAAAAAAAGGTTTTAACTTAAGCACATCAGTCATGTGATATGTTTTGATTCTTTTTTCGTTTGTGATATTTTACATGTGTAGATGGTTGCATATTTCGTTGGCCACATGATATTGTCTTCAATGACATGCCATCATCTTCTTCTGCCATGTACCAAACTGATGAAAAGCTTTGTTGCTTGTTTCTCTCCTATTTTTCTTAAGTTTGGGAAACAGAAAGCCAACATGTTTTTCTTTTCTTGTGGCCAAATCTTTGCATCTAAATCAGATGTCATTCTGAAAAACCACACATTAACATGACACTTAATACTCAGCAAGTGACCCTAAACATGATATTTGCCTAGATTGATGCCTGCAATCGAATTGTATTCAAGAAGATTGCAACATCCTTTGGGAATATGTGTGGATTTGCGTTCTTTTCATTTTGCCAAACTAAAATAAGTCTTATGAAGCTAATGGTGAATACCATAGTCACAGAAGCAGTCACTAAAACTTCTTGAGATAGTATTATGAGCACTCAAAGGTTTGCAAGGTTAATAAACATCTTCACATGGTTCAAGTGGATGCTTATTGTGATCAAGAACTCCATATGATATCCCCGATTAAGAATTGTATTAGTAGTCTATCCAACCTTTTGGACTTGGATTCTTTAGGGGTAAGTGGCCCCACCAATTGGGGTTTTGAGATCATCAATTGTGAAGCGGTCTCTTTCCTTTTTGTTTAACTTCGGGTCTCCGGTTGATTCAAATATGTGTTTAGCTAAAGTTTGGACGCCTTTGTGGAAAAAAATTAGTTCTACACTCTTCATTTTGAAGCCCACAAATCTGTCATTTGGAGGGCATGCCACTCTTGTGAAATTGGTTTTAGCCAGCCTTCCTCTTATCTATTTCTTTGTGTTCAAAGCCCCAAATCCCATAGAGTCATTAAAACCTTGGATTGGTTAATGTAAGCAACAGGTTTGGAATTGGAGTTTTGCTATAACTTGTGCTATTTGAAGATGCAATTAATGTACTGTTGTGAGTGTTTTTTGATTGCCTGAGATGGTCCTGATAGATTGAAGTGAGAGCACAAATAAAGATTGTTGATAACACTTGATCTCAACATTGAACTTGAACTTGCTATAGAAGTGCATATTATCTTCTAGTTCTTCATCTTCTCTGAGTTGTGTGCAGCATATCTTGTACAGAGTCATAATAAGTATCTTAAAAGAGTAAACACCACACGTGGGCTTCTCTATATTAGCCATGCATTCTCGCAAAGATCACTACAATGGCCATATATATTGGACACCATTGGTTCCTTAGAGTTGAAGTATGCTCTGAAGAAGAGGTATTTATATAATATAGGATTTAGGAAACATGGTGTCAAAGTTAGAACCTAAACATATATGGCAATAAAGTTTTCAGATGGGGTATGTAGCTCTCTTTTCTTACACTTGATGTATTAGGACACCCTTTACCTTTAGATGAGGTATATAAGCTAATAAAATCTAATTATATTGCTACTTGGTATGTATTACATCAGCAATGTTTTTCTTCCTTGTTTTCCCTGATTCCTACTTCAACCCAGAGCTGGATTATCATATTCTCATTTATCTATATATCTATATATATTTTCTAATGCTTAGGAAGTTTGATTTGACATAATTACTTGTTAGCTATTATGTTGATGTTAAATTTACTTTCTGATTTTGATGCATGTTATTTGAGCCTAACCTGTTCTCACCCATCCTGATTTTCCACCTATATTATTTGCAATAGAGTATGCTCTTGATTTTCCCTGAACATACTTCATAAAACCCACTTCCATTTATGATTTTGAGGTTATTTTTGGTATTCCAGGTTATACTTGATTTTGGTAAAAAGCATAGAATCATAATTAAAAGGTGAGTCCATGAGTGGTAAACGCAGAAGGTCTGAAACTTCATGGGACATGAAACAAGACAAAATCCCTCCACCAGAATCCAATGATTCTAGGAGGCCATCTTGGGAAGGAAACAGAAAAGTGCCAAGAAATGATGACATCAGAAGAGACAACAAACATAGGAATTTTGATGATGAATGGGGAAAGCAACATACCACATACAGGTTTGTTTTTTTTTTTTTGTTTTTTTGTCTTTTTTCATATCATTCAATCTTTATAAGTATTGTACGTCTGTTTTCGATGAAGGGCATTTATGTCTTTTGCACACATGATCTTGTTGATGGTGAGTGTACGTGCAGGGATCGAAGCAGGAGTCCCATTCAAAGTAGGAGCAGGAGTAGAGGCAGAGAGTGGGAAAGTAGGAGGAGCCCATTTTATGATGATAGACACAAATCTAATGACTATGGAGATGATGTAAGAAACAATGCAAGATGTGATAACATGAAAGAAAGTTGGAGGCATAGATCAGATCATCTCTCTGGTGGTTCCAGATACAGCAGATTCCCTCACCATAAAGATGATAGAAATCATGATGATGATGATGATGACGATGACAGGTGTCGATCAAATCGAGTTACTAAAATCCCATGCAAGTTTTTTGCTGTGGGTAAATGCTATCGTGATAATTGTAAGTTTTCTCATGATGCTTCTGCTTCAGACTCACAAGATTATGATCGAAGGTCACATGAAAACATTCGGGCCCACAAGAACCGCACATGGCATCATGATCATGATCAACATCCACATGCATCAGATTTGTATGAAAAGAAAAAGTCATGGGAATCAGGAGGTTTTGATGAAAACAAGAAAACAACATGGGAATGGGATTCTCATGACAAGAAAAAGTCATGGGATAATGATGATGCATCAAACCCTAATTTAGATAACAAAAACAGATCATGGAATGGTCCTTCATGGGATGATGATCATGAAAAAACAAAGTCAAAGTCATGGAATGGTCCATTGTGGGATGATTCAGGATTAAACAAAAAAAGTTGTGAGAAAAATGATTATTTTTTGCCTAAACAACATAATGTGGCCAATGATTCTCATATAAACAATGAGAATATAGTTTCTGAAGAAGAACCCAACAAACAAATTCTTACATCTGTAGAAGAACAAGTTGAAAATGGGAAGAGTCCAAAAAAGAAACAGGAAGTAATTGGAAATCTAGCTGAAAATGCTCAGCAAGAACAAGAACATATCAACACTGAAAAAGTCGAAAAGGGTAGTATTGGAAATGATGAAAAGTCTACACAACAATGTAGGGAAATAGATCCAAATCGGAGTAGTAGAGATGATGATGGAGAGAAATCCAGTGGATATGGTAATGATGTAAGAAGTAATTCTGGAGGTGATAATTTGAAAAAAGAAAGTTGGAGTCACAGACAAGATTACTCAAGATCCAGCAGCCATAATAGAAATTCAAGGAATCATTATGATGATGATGGTAAAGATGACAGGTGTCAATCAAATAGAGTTACTAAAATCCAATGCAAGTTTTTTGCTGCGGGTAATTGTAATCGTGATGATTGTAAATTTTCTCATGATGTTTCAGAAGCACGGAATTATGATCGTAGGTCACATGACAACCCTCGGGCCCACAACAAGATGACATGGCATGATGATGATTTAAAAGCATCAGATTTGTCTGAAAAGAACAAGTCATCATGGAATGGTCCTACATGGGATGATGTGGAATCAGGTGGACTAAATGAAAACAAGAAAACAACATGGGATTCTCATAATTTTGATAACAAGAAAAAGTCAACAACACGGGATGATATGTCAAACCCTAATTTGGATAACAAAAACAGGTCATGGGGTGATGTGGAATCAGGTGGTTTTAATGAAAACAAGAAAACAACATGGGAATCTCAGAATTGTGATGACAAGAGAAAGCCAACAACACGGGATGATATGTCAAACGTTAATTTGGATAACAAAAACAAAAACGGGTCGTGGAATGGTCCTTCATGGAATGAGGTAGATGCATCAAAGTCAAATGCAAAATCGGGGAATAATATAGATGAAAAGTCAAAGTCATGGGTCAAAATGGATAATAATAATAATAATAAGAAGATGAGAAATGAAAAGGGTTTTGATCACTTTTTGCCTCAACAACATAATGTGGTCAATGATTCTGATTTAAACAATGATAATATAGTTTCTGAAGAACCGAATCAACAGATTGTTACAACAGAGCAAAACCTCACGAATGCCATAGATTACCTAAAGTCACTTCCCAATTCTACTACACACAATCAAGAGGGTAATATTGGAAACAATAATGTCATGGAGATTGAAAATGGGAAGACTCCAAAAAAGAAGCAGGAGGAATTAGTTGGAAAACGAAAAGCTAAGCAAGAAGAAGAACATGTTAATGATGAAAAGGGGAAAGAGGGTAATAATGGAAATGATGAAAAGTGTATGCGACAATTTAGGGCTGCCCTTGTGGAATTTGTGAAGGAGATTCTGAAGCCGAAATGGAAAGAAGGTAGGATGACAAGAGAGGTTTACAAAAGTGTTGTGAAGAAAGTAATTGATAAAATCACAACTACTATTCAACAAGTCCAAATCCCTAAAACACAACCAAAGATTGAACTGTATCTCACACACTCCAAACCCAAAATCACGAAGCTTGTGGAGGTAAGTTGTGATTTGTGAATACCATTTTTCATTTTGTATTATTATTATTATTATTATTATTATTATTATTGTCAGATAAATTTTTCTCCTTTTTTCATGCAGGCATATGTTGAAAAACTTGTAAAGGCTTAGCTTAGCAAATGCTTGAGAAACGTTTTGGAAGTGGATGTTGTTTTATAGGAGTAGCTTCAGAAATTAAATATGCGTATATAGCATACCTGCAAGCAAAAAGTGTTGTTGATCGTTACAATTTGTATTTTGAATTGTGCTTTTTAGTTTGATAACCCTCAAGGTTGAAAACATGTCTGTGCAACTGCAACTGCTTTTGTTTTTTATTGTTTCTAGAAAAATCTGAATTTCAGTTTGAGGCTAACCCATTTTAACCCATTTTCTAGAAAAATCTGATTTGGTGTAGTAAATTAGTATTTTAAATATTAAGTATGGGGCATATTATATATATATATATATATATATATATATATATATATAT